AAAGGTGGTGCTATCGGCGATGACGCCTTTGGCGAGCTCCCGACCACCCCCCACATTTTAAACGACCGATCTGTGAGTATCCTTCCCCTCCTTTCCCTTTATTATTCAAATCTGCTTTCTAGTGGTAAAGCATGCTTCGGCCACGTGGAAGGTTAGTCTTTTTTCTGACCTATCACTTAGCGCTTGAGAGCCGTCTAGCAATGATGTGAAAAAACCCAGGACGCTTTTTGGCCCGGGGACATTTGCTGGTGTTATAGTGTGCCTTTTTATCCCGTATAGACGCGATGCTTATGAAACAAGCGGGAAGCTAGCGTAATCAAATAATGAATACAGAACTACTCACAACAAGAGCGGCAGTGGTTCTAGCTCTCACTTTTCAGTCAGGCTAAATTTCTTCCTAGGGATCGCGTGGTGTCACTCCCGAGAGTATCATAAACGGAGACAGGGAAAGGTTGAAGTATTCCACAATACATTTTGCGTAAACTACAGTACATGTACGTTGTCGAATGTTAAAGAGAGCCAAATAAATGTAACAACGTAGCAACCAATACGAGCAGGAAGGGAAAAGCGCACTCGAATGAATTGATTAAACCGAAATTGTTCTACTACAGTACGATATAAAATTCCGCAAGCTAAGCCAGAACCTAAGCTTAAAGTGTGTACTGTTTATAAAATTTCAAATAAAAAATGCTTTGCCTATAATTGCTTGGTGGGCAATCATGATGATGGGCACGCCCATACTTATGATACACCGATGAAGAAAGCTGTATAAACTATGTCTTCAAAAAGCAGTTGATAATTGGAGAGCGTCCAAAAACAGCATGCAACGTTGCAAGCCATTATTTTCAAATAGATACTTGATTAGTAAATAACCGCTTTGAAACAGCTTGTGCTTTTAAAACATCAGTGTATTGTTCTTATAATGCATAATGCGATGTACTTTGTCTAGGGATCAACAGTGGCCTTATCTTTATGTGTGTATAGGTGCTGCGAGAGTCCTGATACCTTGCGAAATCAGAAAGGCGCTAGGATTCCGGGTGGAATAAGCGAAAGGCTCCGTTCGCTCACTTTTCATTCACATTCAGGCTTGAGGGGAAGGGGGCTTGTTTGCCTTTGCAAAGAGCGGAGTTCGACTTCCCCGTGCTGGCTCAACTGACCCGTCGTGCACCTTGCCTATAATCGACCAGCCACTTTTACAGTGGCAACTGGAGTCCGTGATAGAGATGCTGGTGGTGCTACTGCAAATTTTGGAGTGGTACTCCGCCATTTTAGAAGGTGTGTCTGCTTCTCTTCGGGCAAAGAAGGAAGCGACCAATAACGGTGACAGCATAATCGGCTACCTGAGGTCGGTCCGGCGAGTTCAGGACAGAAGAAACTACGATAACGTAATATGCGCTCAAATGACTGCATTTTCCTACGTAGTTGGTGTGCGTCAGATTGGGTGTGCCCTGTAGGCACTAAGGGATAAGGGTTGGTAGTTAGCTCGAGGACAGCTTACGGTCTCTACATTGTTGGCAAACCCCTTTTTTTCATTGACTATTGATATCATTACTAAGATGATTTCTTTCGGTGTTAATGAAGACAACAGCTAAAGCTAAACAGGTTCTTCTGAAGCTCTCAGAATGCAATGAACGTAGAAAGGTTCTGGTGGTGCACAATAGCTACGAGGAACACCTGATGGGGGATTCTTTGCGCGTGCCGCAATTCTCTGGAGACCGGTCGAGCAGTTGCGCCGGTACGCTTCAAGGGAAACGTATGGGATCTAGCATCGCACGTATTTAAGGGGCCGGACTTTCCAGTAATACATGTGTATGCGGATGTAATGAGAAAAGATTTAGTCTATAGACTAGATAATGTCTTGATTGTGTCGTGCCATCGGATTACCACCATTAATGTCAGGATTTACGAATGAGGTATATGTCTTACAGGTACTCTCAATAACCCTATAAAAGCTGGCTAGGTTATATTAACGATTCGTGTCCATGACCATGACAGGGTAAAGTAACGATCTCTATAAAATGTGCAAAAAGACGAGCAATAATGGTGTCTTAAATCGACGAACTCTTCTAGTTGTTCGGAATGCCATAAAAAAATTTTTAATTTTTTGAATCTAGAAGACCAAATAGGCTTAACTGTAGTATCAGATACTGCATGGCGGGCGTCCCACTGCAAAATGTGCAGACTCCAATTACTAAGAATTGGTTCTTTTTTTAAGATGCGGAACAACTGAGTATTCATTCTATCGACTTCATGTTTAGGTACCGTCAAATACAAAAAATTCTTGTTAAACTGGCGAATAGAATTCATAATGGTGCTACTGAGTATTTACAGACCATGTTAGTAAGCGATTAGCGAATCTTGGCTTAGCGTTCCAAATCCAAAGCTGAGGCGTTATCCTATAGTCTTTCAAATATCTTTCATCTAGAGGTTTCGTGTCAACTGTAAATAAATTGTATTCAATTATTTAGTTTCGCTTCGCATAGTGCTGTTATAATAGATAGGGCAGATGAGTTCTAGACCGTGGGTTGGGCGCGGTCATATTTTCGATCTACTGCTTCGGCAAATTCCAACACGTTTCTCTATTGAAAAAGCTTGTTCGTTCAGTCTCTCAGCCTTTGTTTCATTTTTCGTGCTTTGATTTAAATCAGTTTATATGAGTGATATCATGCAGTACCTGGTGTTCAGCGTAACACTAACCTTGCACTCGGCCGCTCGAGGCTTTGTTTTGCAGGACACGTTCTCTCCAGTAGCCCGCACAGCCTTACCATATGATAAATTTCACTACTTATCACGCTAGACAATCTATGGAACGGGTTTCACACGAAAGAGGTAGGGAAAATCTACTTTTGGACGCGGATTTGCTGCCTCCAGTGGTATATTCTTCGTTTCCTTTCAAACTGTGCCAGTCGCCGTTGATAGCATTCGTTAATTCATATGAGCCTGCTCACGATGTGGCCAGTTCCGTTCACCCGGTTCGTGGGATTGCCACAGATTCTTCGCTCTGGTCGGTTTTATCGCAGTCTTCATTGCGGCGTGGGCCTTCGCCTCGCAGCTACGATAGCAGACGTGCGAATTTCATCTGATTTTTGCGCTCTTCCTGCCCTTGTCGCTCCATCAGAGTCAACTAAGCTGAGCGTAGAAGAACGCCATAGACAGCAACTTAACCGAATAGCTAATAGAGTAACTTTTGTATCCTGTCCCTTTTTCCCCCTTCCTTTCAGTGACTGTAGTAGTCCCACGAGTCAGAGGGCGCTCCATGCTGGCACCTCCGCAGGCTTAGTCCCAATCGTGTGCCTCTTGGTCAACGCTCAAAGGAAGCGAAAGAAAGGGGATTAAACAGAAACCAACCTGTCACACGCAACCTATCGCCAGGTTCTAGGCAGCACGCATGTTGGTACAGGAGAATTCTTGGTTATGCGGGGCGTGAGTTTGAACAAGTAGGCATTAGAGCCGACAGCAAGGAAGGATAGAATCAAGAAAATGCCATCAGAAATCTGTTGGTTAGTTAAAGAAATAGATTTAATGGGATACCCTATGATATGTGTGTATGTATATGCGAGTTAGAAGTAAATATTTAGTCCTGCCTCTATGCCTGATCCTTATATGCATAGCTGCAATTCAAGTTGGCTTCATTTAGAAATACAAACCTCAAGGCCGCACCAGTTGGAAGAGACTGAGATCGACCAAAAATCGTGTGACAAATTCTGTGACATAGCCAACATCCCACATGAAAGAGCAAGCGATGCCTAATTAATCTAATTCTGAATAGATAACTTTGTAGTTATCGATTCAACGAATATTGAAGGCGGCAAGGAGTTCCAAATGCATCTGTGTTGTTAGTTCACGAAAATTACTATGTTGTTTCTGGGCTCAGTTGACTGAGCTGGTAACGTTCTATAGCAGATTGACTGCAGTAGAAATAAGATGAAATTTAGGTCTAGTGACTGTACGTGACCAGTACGCACATTGATTTGTCCATTTGAAGCTATATAACTGTAAAATAGCGAGGATCCCATACTTGCTGAGAAGAAACCTGAGTGAAGAAACCCTAATAATCCAAAGATAACTGAAATGGTATCGCGCTGGACCGTTGATAAATTATTTACACAATAGCATACATAATAAACGAAAATGCTATAACGATACAGAAGTGCGTAGCTTGAAGACTAGAGTAACACAGTAATGTATATATTATTAGTTTGAGTTAACTACCCTATTCAAGTATCAAGTCAAAGCACCCGCCAGATGAGCTTGATTAAACAGCTGTCCTGTTAAGATTAACTGAGTTACATTTGATCTTAAGTTGATGTTGCAAGCTTGTAGGTTTAAAAAGCGAGTTTCAAGCTGACATTCAACATACTTTAATAAGTTTTTCACAAATATAGGCTTGGTTATGGATTATCAAGGCTAAATAAGCCAGTCAGGTCGGCTTTCATAGACATGTCAAGTGGCGAAGCTAATTTTTTGGGAATAGGTTGAAAATTAAAAGGAAGACAAAGGGAACGTTTTTGAAGGAGTTGATTTTTGCAAAAAAAATCGACCTCTTCATTAGAGCCTTCGGAGGTCATCTATCTATAGTACATCGTGGACAGTACACCCGTTTAGTACACCCGTAGAATCTACTGAAAAGACGCCGCAGGACATTATAGCCAGTCCTACTGTTGTGCAGCAATTTCAACTTATGTTTTATCAATATTTTTTTTTATATCTTTAAATAAGCGTTTTTACGTCTTTGACGGGTTTTATCGAAAAATCTATCTATTTCGTAACTCGTCAAGATTACATTGGTGGCGTCAAAGCGCCATCGAACAATTTCCAAACGTCAGCCATTTACAACGGACAAAATGTCTTCAGCACAAAAGTAATATTATTCATATTATATAGAGTAACTTTGAAGAAGTTGATTGCGGAATTCACATCTGTAAATTGGTATCTTGATGAGCAATCAACAAAAAGAAAAGTGCTCAAAGATATGAGTCAAAATTATTTGTAATACATACTAATTTTGCGCTCTTCGGCTTGACCTCAGATTCAGGACAACGATCAGGTAGGACATGAGATTGCAGGATTACCGAGACGGCTTCCACCTCAGACTATCCAAGAAACAGAAATGTGATTTAGACACGTTTCAGAGTCTTTTCTCATTCATCCATCCATCCATCAGTTGACAGATACTGCATTTTCGGAGAAAAGAGACGATAAGTAATCTGAAAGCTTTTTTTTTATCCGCAACTTGTAAGTTTATATTCTCGTCACCAAAAGACAATCGTAAGTATATCTCGTGAATCGATTATGTCATTAAGTATTCTAGACAGTGTGAAACGGTTCTCGCGACCACTGGAGTCAACTCTAATAGCAATAAACTCTATGGATCGTCGCCTCAGGCAGCATTTTACAAACGATACAAATTTATCAAGTACTTAGCACAATGCATTCGTGCATAGAACGAAAAGCTATGAAAAAATATTTGTAACCGTAACACCGGGAATAAAGAATCCAGTTGAGAAGGTTTCATAACGTGTAGCAATCTTGTCTCATACCAGTCACTGTACTAATTATTCAGTTCTACTTTCAGTGACATACGGTAAGATATGACAAATTGTCTAAATAACGTTATTTTGGTAACAGGAACGAAAATTCGTGTCCCATTATAGGGATGTACCCGTCACTTGTATCATCAGCAAACACAGAGGCCGCCTTCTTAGGTGCTGGTAGTTGTCTGTCGAGGTTGATTAGCCTGTCGCATACGTAAATGTGACGTGGAAACGCAATGGTGACAATTTGCCATCGGGTCTCCGATCGCGTGTGAAGACCGATCCCATATAGGGAAAAATGCTCAGTGATGCTAATAGTGTCAACATACATACCTGTTTTTTGTTGCTGGTTTTTTTTAGTAACCTGGAAGATTTTCCGAGACCCATTTCATGAATTGTCTCTGTGTTCTTGCGGAACCAGTTCGTTGTCGGCCTACGTGTAGATTACCGCTATCCTGTCCACCATCGTTGGCGCTCCTTTCCGCCATTAATGTTGGTAATCGTTACCATCGTCTTTTCTTTCTTCGCTTCGATACATCTTTCCATATCGTCCCTGTCGCATTATTTTTGCTTTGTCGTCTGCTCGATTTCAAGGGGTCCGATATGCCATCATTGGCTGTTACCATTGCCCGATGGTTTTGGCTTTCTACGAAACTTTCTACGAGCTTCTTATGGCTAAAAGCTTTACATAGGTAACGAAATTATACAGTGCAATCTATTTGAACATAGCCTGGCTAAAAACATCGTCTAGATTTTTTTATAACTTTTTCTTAAGTAACCGTTAACGAGTAGCTGCAAATTGTGGTCATTTCTACGTTCACGATACGTACTCCCTTCTTGAAAACAAATCGTTTGTCGTTGTGTACCTCGTAAGTAATGTTATGTATTATGACGACATTTCTCAAAAGTGGCTAGAGGTTCAGTAGTCGGAATATTATGAGTAAATAAATAATAAATAAGTAAATAAAGTGAAATTTCTTCAGTTCAGCTCCGCGTAGTGTATCATACCAGTGAAGTCGTTGAAATCTATCGGCGATAGAAATGATAGTAAAACTGGTTGCTCCTACTTGTAAATTTCTGATTTGTTGAATCGATTCAAGTTACAGAAGCAGACTAATGGCCGGCCTGACGGCGTCAATGACTGCTTCTGTCTCCTGAGTTTTCCAGAACTAGTTCGAAATTTTTCTTAGATCTAATTTGGCGTTGTCTCACTACTTCGAAAATACTCTCGGTGACGGCCAATGTATGTCAGGAGCTAGGCCATAGGAACCACCAGTTCTATTCATTTCTGTTCCCATTTTAGACAAAACTGCGGAGCGTACGAAAGAAGCTGCCAACGCTTTCACTAGCATCTCACGACTGCAAAGTGTAAACGTTGTAGGCTGTTAAAAAACATGACGAGCATATTTCGTAATACATCAGATATAATTACCGAAGATGATCCCTTCAAGCCTTCTTGCTGATTCTTAAACGGTGATTTTTACAATACTATCATGCGGATTCAGCAATAACATTATAGACGTATAAATAACACATCAGCTACCTGATACTGGAGATACTGTAGGCAAACAAAAGGGGCCAATTCGACGAAGCCCCACATGGAGAGGGCTTGTGCCATTTTGTTGAGTAGACCCGCCTGACGAAGGGTGTCTTCGATCCTCAACACATCGACCTGTTGTTTAACGAAAACGGTTCATTACCTATTCGGTTCGAATACATTATGTATGCGGTGTTAGGGTGGGTACAAACGCACGCTGTTTAAAAATAACCTCGTCGCTTTCGTGTTAGACATGTACTTTTATGCGATCCTAAGTGGCTTATAATGCTAATGCGGTGACCTGTCTAGTTTCTATTAACACCAAAAAAATGCCGTTGCAGCAAAATGTATTGTCAACGCTACACGATTGGCTTATACACAAAGTGTAATGTATCAGACTACAAAAAGTAAACGAATTTTCCAAAGGCCGGTTTATTGGTTTCCACTATCTGCCGACAAACATTCTACTCGACTGGCCAGAAAAAGTGTCGTATACATATTTCCCGTCTTGTAGTGGTCATGTGTTTTATGGGCTTTAAGTTTCTTCGCAGAACTTCGGGAAAAATCCCATTGGTGCGCCAATAGACGTTGTTGTTTCTTCCTGTATGGGGTAGAGTTTTCTTTAAAGATTCTAGCTTCGCTAGAAGAGTGCTTCAGCTGCGATAAGCTTATAGGCCTTAATAGGCCTTGGGGAAAGCGTTGAGCGCGAGAATCGAGGAGCCAGTTCAATAAACTTACCTTAAGCGAGCCCAATTTTTTTGTCGGTTCCTATCACTTGCAGCATTATACGCGTATCGCTAGCACATAACGCATCATTGGTTCCATCTTGAAAATGGTTCACTTCGACCAGTAGCAGTCGTGTATTGCTTATAGTTTGTGCAGCGCATAGCTTTCGTGGATAGCCTACGACGCGCCATATCTATATGAAAATGTAAACGTTTTTCATTCGTTGTCATCGTGATTATCCAAATTAAAATAGACATTAAATAGGACGGTATACTACCGTTAAATTACATAAAGTCTGAATTCATACGTAGAGACATTTGTAGTCGACGAAGAGTGAGATAAAGATAAATGAACCACCCAGTAGTTAAAGTACCAAAAAAATCCTAATATAGGCTTGTAAAAAGCCCTTCAAACGACTACAATGGCTATCTATTATCGTGCCGATGACCCGAGCGGCAACGATTTTTCCCGCGGCTCGGTCGTCGACGCGTGACGATTGTCTACAGGCGCTCGCCGCCTATTGCTTGCGTATTTTTAAGCGCTAGCAGCCGACAGGTATATGTTTAGCCCGTGTTAAGTTAGTCATTAACTGTTGCCAAATAGCTTGACTACTCGAGACTCGACTGATCACTGCTTTTTGTGCAAGTTCATGTTGCTCTGGCTGACTATTAAGAAACAAATCCTTCTAAGAATTACATGACTCTAGGCTGACCGCTCTAATCCTTTCGATTTCAACAGCGGACATGTCGGATCTGCAAGTGAAACCGGCTACTATATGCCTCGACTGGACACATGTATTATTTCTTAATTGTCGTAGTAATGATAGGCTGTTCTCCCCCATTGAAGTAACCGTATTTACTGTATATTTCAGTAAAACTGAGCTAAGTTTGGTATATGTTAGATGTGGTCCAAATGGACGCTAATTATGATAGCGGGCGTATTGCGCTTAGTTCTGTACAAAGATCCAAGCCGTTTTCTTCATTACCTATATCTACTACATATATACACATGGAAACGAGGAAAAAGCTCCATTTGAAAGAAGTATCACGAATGCGTTGAGATATTTGCTCATGCGCTGTAACTGATGGCCATCGGTGCCCTTCGTGTTGGCTATTCTCCTGCTCCTGAAAAAAATTGGTTGCATATTTCGACATATCGCAAGAAGACAAGGAACTATATTCAGTACGTAGAATGTTTGCGTTCCTCCAAAATTTGTAGAATTCAGCCGGGTCAATGATTTCGATGAAAAATTCGAGTTACTCATGATCGGAGCAGCCCTGATGTTCACCAGGAACCCTTTGTGTCCGCGTAACAGATAGCGAAATAATTAGCCTATTTGCCTGCAAGGCTGTTAGGGACATCTGGGGGTTTAGATTCGAATCCACGCGTACACACTTCGCTTCGAGCAGAAAGCTAACCATGGGAAAAAACAACCATCGAAAGGCTTTTACAGTACCGAACCTTAAACTCAGCTGTCATCGAAAATGCTACCAACAGCGCTCATATATGAAAATTTTCAAAAATAAACAAGAACACATCTCACTGTTTAGCTACTTTTATTGCAATTTTCATTATTCAAATGGATAGTAGATGATGAAAGTGTTTTGGCTGCTTTTATAGCTGAATTAAGCACAATTTGGCTTTGAATAAGGAAATACATAGCCCGTAACGTTCATCATTTATTTCCCTGCTAAAATACTACCATTTCATGTTTTTCGCAATTGTGCGAATATTTAAATTTGACCATACTGATGTATAATATATGATTTATTTAAAAAAATTGCTGTTAGGATCGATACTACTTCCTTTCAGGAAAACACTTAAAGTAACAGAACTATTGTTCGAAGCTGATGAGTTTGGGGTTTTAGCTCACGACCTGTGTTTTTATATCAGTGCTTTAAACTGACTGGGCCGACCACGGGTCCGCATCCAGAGCGGGCAAACGGTCCAGAATTAATTTGCGACTACATATAATTTAATATGCAAAACCAGAGATGAACAAGAGCAAAAAAACGACCTGACAGCACTCGATAGCCAAGGGCGGTTTAGTGTCTTGACACCCTTTTTCTACCCAAAAATACCCAGCCCAGCGCCGTTGTTCCCCCCCACACAGCTTTTGCCATTTCGTGGATTGGGCGAAGGCGTTGGCTGTGTATTCATATTGTAAGTGAGTTTTTCAAAAACTCGAGAAAAAGAGTATTGCAAACAGACGAAGACGATGCGAAGAGGAGAGTAATAGGATAGTCAAGCCCGAGCCGAACTGTCTGTCGTGTCTTTGCATTCGCGATCAGTTACTTCCGCTGTTCTTCTGACTTCAAGCGTATGGCAGGCGTCTACCAAGTTGCTTTTGTGATGAAGACAAATAGGAGGCAACCTCTCCCACACCGAAACGATGGCAACAAGACAATTTCAGCAACAGCACTTCACGAAAAACATCATAATACGCCTTTTTCTGTCTTTCATTCGGCCATCATAACCAGCAGAGCTGCACGATAACACGACCATCACCGCCTCTTCGGCATCGCCGCCTCCTATATTACGCTGAACTCCCACGGGCGACCACAGTGATCGTGGTAAATGGCATATGTATAATGCTCTTAAATGTGCGAGTCTTTATCCGATTGTCACTCGGTCCGTTAGTGATGCATTAGCTGTCGCGAGAGCTGAAGATCTAGTAAAAATTTTTCAGCCGATATCTATTCGGCGTCGCTAATCATTGGATATACCGATCCAATCTCCTGGACGATGTCTCGATCCAAACGAGCGAGAAAAGCATACGGAAACCACACACGCAGCTCGGCAGAGTTGTCGTTGACACAGAAAAAAACCATGTACGCGGCCTAAAATGTCGTTGAACCGTTTTGTTGCTGGGCTGATTCCTGGATTCAACGACTGCCGTTATTGATATAGCTTCTAGGATTTCCACGGCTCCTTCACGTTTCGTCTCCGGGAGACGGACGAATGAGCACCAGCAAGAAGCTCCGATAACGGGGACGCCTACATAGTTAAAGCAAGCGTTGAAATCTCCTTGTTTCTAACATTAGACGTTATACCTGTGAAGAAGCCTGCATGATGGGAATAACCAAAAAGTAGAGGAAACAAATAACCAAGAAAGTTGACGAACATTGAGGCGACCAGCCTCCCAAGAACTCGGCATCGCAACAACCCAGCAGCAACGAGCACCTACCGTTCGACAGCAGAAGGACATCAGGTGGTCAGACGTAGAGTTAAACCTCGATGTCACACCCCAGTTTGTTTGTGGCTTTTGGTGGACGCAGATTTTCTCATTCTGTCGCTTAGCACTAACGCCGCTTCGGGCGTATCACACACGCGATTCGATGACGCCTTCCGTTTTTCTCTTCAACGTTAGCAACCGTCAACGACAACTGTGGCTTCCCAACGCTATCCCAGAGTGCGATACCGTATATGTGACATGTCATTGGGGTAGGAACTGCTGCGATATAATGTTTTGCCCGATAAGCAAAGCGGAGGCCGCGCGCCGCTTCATTCCCAGTAGGGAAAAGCTTATGCTCAAGGCTTTGGTAATTTCAACTTTTCAATAAAATATCTGTCCTAAATTGACCACATATTTATGTGTACCAAATGACACGTACACGCGGGCCGTATGAAAATAAGTTTACGTCGTATGCACACGCTTTTCCGGTGAGCATTTAATTTCTAGGTTTAGAAAGGCTTCATCTGCTAGCGGTGAACAATTGCTAATCTAGCGCACCTAATTTTGCTCCCAATTGACATATCCACGCAAACAACTTGATAAGTGTGCAAGCACGATCAAACATAGTTGATGGCGGCAATATTATCACATAATGCGCATTAAAAAATACGGCCCTTCTATTTAACAAGGTCTAAGTAATGACGGATATGACCGCTACTGCTGCTAGGATAATACAATAAAGTTAGTACAGTGGCCCCTTAATCCCTGAACGGCAAAGTGGGTCTCGAACAAATCGCATCAAATACATCTACATAATAACGGACAGCGACGATGAAAACAATGAACCAAAAAAGCACTTAACGCAAATTGAAGTTTCGAAGCTTTGAAAGCGTCCGCTCGCTTGGTGTGGAGTGGCTGTTTCTGGCAGTGGCGAGATGCCACTTGAAATGCCGCTCCGAAAATACGTAACCGTTTTGCCAGCAACAAACAACGCCGAGAGCAACAACAATTATTCGCACACATACACACGGCGATGTGTGCTGTGAGCTGCCACAGTTATTATCTGTTCAAAGGAACGACAGTCTGGTCCCCCACCGCTTAGTAGTCGTCTTGACAGAAACAACCGCTCGGGGGCAAGCGTTTTTCCTGTCCCAGATATAGACTCCGACAGCGACGAGGACAAGCGTCAGTTGGAGCCGCTGCTACGGGTGCACCGCTAAACGGATGAACACAG